CACTGCAGCCTGGATCAGCCCTCTCTTGGCCCCAGGGAGCCCACAGCCATGTGCTTTTGGGTGGCCCGGAGCCCAGGGACAAGTGCAACCCCCAACTCAGGACCTGTTCCCAGCAGAGAACCACATTGCTTCAATTGGAGCATTGCACTGGCCCCGTGAAATCTGCTCATCTGCCTTGCCTCATGACTGTGCTGAACTAGGCGCTGCCCCAAACTGCTCACGTGTTCTGTAGCCCAGAGAGTAAGGCTGGGGAGGGGGAGAGGGGCAGGGAGAAGAGAAAGGGAGTGATGCTATTTCAGTAGCAGGACCCAGCCTATCCTAGGAGCTCAGTCAAGGGCCTTCTGCTCTTTAGCATAAAGGATTTCTACCTTCCCCTAGCATCCCTGATGGCAAACAGGGCAATACATTTCATGGCCAAGCTGGGCAGACTTATTCACCATCTTCAGTTAGTTAAGATCTGGACTTTGCCATCCCTGCAGCAAAGAAGTCCCTGATTTCATAGCAATAGGTGTAAAAAAAAATTCACTCTGCCCCAGCCCAAGCCGGGTTCCCACTTCCCCCTGGAACTTTACCATATGCCCTCTGAGGGGGACTGGGCACCCCGGATGGGACAATGATGGATGGGTTGAGCCGGGAGATCAAACCCCTCTGCGCACAGGCTGGAAAGTGAGCTGGGGAGATGTGCCTAAGGCCATGCAGTAGGTTGGTGGCGGAGCTGGGTGCTAAACTGGAGAACTCAGGTGTCCTAAGGCTCTGACCACTAGACTCTACTACCCGTCTTCCCTGCCTTTGGCTCTGTGCTTAGCACCTGCAATGCCGGATGCCCTGGAGATCTGGCTGTAGCATGGAGAGGTGAGGGGGACACTCCTGCTCTGCCCTGGGGATTTGACTATGGCCTAAATTCAGATGAGAAGGACTCAGCTGCTCTGGGGTTAGCAGTTCTGTGCAAAGTGGGGGCAGGGAGGGGAGAGCTGTAACGGAAAAAGCAATGACAGAGCAGGCATCCTTTTTAACCACAGCCAACAAGATGCTGCGGCTTCTACCCGAGCTGGATTTCTGCAGACTCTACAGCATTATTCTTATCCTGCAGGGGAGCGGGGCACGGTTCACGCTTATGCAGGCCACAGCAATGGAAAAAAGCTGCGCCGCTTGCTTTGCTGTCGCTACCAGCTGGCTCTCTGAGAAGAGGCGCTTGAGCTGGGTAGATTTCCTTCCCTGAAATCAAACCCTCAAAAAGATGCCTAAAAAAAGAAAAAAAGAGGGAAGTTTAGGGGGGGACCCATAATTAGCTTGTGAAAAAGGATGCAACTGGAGCTTTTTAATCTTCTTAGGCTCAAATAGCTGCACAGAGATATTAGCAGCTGGAAGTTGCTTATCACGTCAGAGGATTCCAGTTGCAGAACAGCCGCTCAGAGGTGGAAGGTAAATCTCTCTGGAATGCATGGCTGATGAGAAGCGATGCTAAAAATCGATCCCACCACTTGCTGGGAGGAATAGCCAGCATGCCTCGGCAGGGTGCGAACTGCATGGGATGCTTCCAGAAGAGTTGGCCAGCCAGAGAGCAGGTCCGCCCTTTGCTGGAGGACTCAGGCCCAGGGAATGCAATGATAGGAAGCCAACACGGCTCAATGAGCCGCCAGCTCCACTTGCAGTGGCATTTCCTCCTCTGCAGGATTGGCCTCTGGAGGTAGGGAAAACAAAAAGCAGAGGACAATTTGGGGTTGGGATTCAGTTATCTAGCTCAAATGTGTGCCCGCTGAGCTAGCAAGGTTCAGAGCACAGCCAGGATCTAAAAGGCAGCACAGAGGAGGGTGATAGGAGATGCACAACAGGGACTGGAAAGCACCTCGTAGTGTAACAGGAGCACTTTGCACTGCTCAAATGCAGCAAAAAGAGCCGACAATGAAAAGAAGCCTTTTCCCAAGCCACCAGGAAGGTGCCGTTGTCCATCACTTGAGGCTTTAGAGTGGTCTCAGGCTCCCTGGACCATCCTGGGCAGTCAACGGACGAAGGATGAATGCATGGGGTATGAACGCACAGGGGTCTCCAGAAGCTGATCTAGAATCAGGGCACAAGAGACTGAAAGGAAATAGTAGCTTGCTTGACACCGATCTAATCTAGTCATTAAAATAAGCAACATCGGAGCACTCATAGGTTGTGGCAGAGCAAGAGAGAAGGGGCTGACTGATAACCAGATGTGGGTGGTTTCTGCTCAGGGCCTGGAATAGCCATTGTGCTGGCTGCAGACATCCAAAAGGGAGAGGGAGGACTTTGTCAGGGAGTCTTGGCATGAGGATCCAGGCTCCGCGTTTCTAATTTACTGCAGTGGACAACAGCGGGGGTGAGTCCAAGTCGGGAGTCGGTTCAATTCCAGCGACAGCCAACCACTCTGCCCTGAATCACGCTGCTAAAATAGGAAGATACATGGATTTTCCAGCAAACCTTTGCAAGAGGGAACTCAGTCAACCTGAGAGGCCATTTGTTTTGGCCACTGACAATTGCAGGCCTGAGTTGATGACCACGGAAATCAATGGAAAAATAAGAGATCTCTGAAAGCCTGCTTGAAGTCAGCAATCACTGTGGCAGAGCAGAGCCAGCAGCACTCATTCCCGGTTCAGCTGTGCAAAGCCTTCAAGCAGCTGCTGAAACCCTCAGCTGAACTGGGACATGCATCTTTTATTTGATTATGGACACCATCAGATGGCTGCTCTGTCTTTCTGAGTTTACGTTGCCTGCTTCTGTACCAGACAAGAATCTGCTTTGCTTGCTTCCTGGACACGGTGGCAAAATGCTGCTGTGGGTGGTTTCCGATGCTTCGGGAGAAGAATATCTATGAATTCAAAGGGCGTCTTAACAAGCACATGAAGGGATCTGTGTAGCCAGCCTGAAAGCTTTCCTGCTAAACCTTGTAATAAGACTGAAGTTTGTTACCTAAATCCAAGGGACTGGGAAGTACAGCAGAGTCCAGTGGTACCAAGGGCCAACTAGGAGGAAATAGGAGATTAAAGCAGATGCTTAAGAAAAAAAGCCAATAGCTGGAGACCATGAGCTTAAGAAAAATCCGAGGGTAAGACTGGTTACTGCGGAAATCAAAGTCTCTCCCAGGAAGGGCAAGGATCTCACTATGGAGTTGAATTTTTCCTCTAGGTCACAAGAATTGATGGTGTCAAGGTTTATTCAGGAGGAAATTCCCATCCCCAAGATAGGCCTCCAAATCCCTTTGCCAGCCAATGGAGTTTGGGCACTGACCTCTCTCAAGCCCTGCAGAAATTCCCAGCTGGATAACCAAGCTGCAAACTGACTAAGTGACGGCTCTTTGCAGCTAATGTAGCTCTGGAAAGGAGAATTATACATGCACGCAATAGACTGGGCGACCCCTGGCTTCCAGATCAATGGAGAAACTCCCCTGAGACCAGCGCTTGGCTTTCTGCCCATCTTACCTTCGTGCCACACCACGCTGGCCTAAGGGGATGCGCTACAGCACCATACTAAAAACACTTGGCGGCTTGCAATGCCGGAGTGATGGATGGCTAAGACCGTCTTTATTAGACGTTTGTATCTGATACAGAATAACCTGAAGCCTTTAGAGGCTACTTGAATACAAAAATAAATCAAATCTCACACATGCTGTTGACACACACAGCCCCATTATGTGTTCAAGTTGAAGCTGGACAGAAACCAGCTGTAGAGTTGTTACAAATTTTCAAGCACTACATTTCTAGCGGGCTGGCTTTTTTTGTAGCTGGAGAGACATTTTTATGGGGTGACAGTTCCTTTGCAGGTACGGGACTGGTCTCAACCTATTGCGCGATTAACAAGTGCAGAGTAATTCTCATTTAAAAAAAATTAAAGATTTTTTTTTTTTTTGCAAAAGTCTAGTTGGTCTAATAAAAGATACCACCTCTACCACGAGTCTTGATTGCTTTCATCTCTATACCAGTAAGTCTACAACCTGGATACCAAGTAATTTTCATGCAATTCACTGGCTAATCACACAATAAAAGTGGAGACCGACCACACCTGCAGACTGGCCAAAAGCACAAAGTAATTCTCACACAATTCACTGGTGGCCAGTCTTCGCAGGTGTGGCCGGTCTCAATTTATGGCGCAATTAACCAGTGAATTGCATGGTGTGTGCGCCAGCACCATGCGCACACAAATCCCAGATCACTCATTTCAGTAGGAAGCGGAAGAAAAGTCACACCTGCTACTCCATGGTTATTAGTTGAACTTTTTTTCTTTTTTTTCTTTTTTTTATTGGTCAGTGAAATCTATGGTAGCATAACTGAAAATATACGGTGTAATACGACTGATCACGAAGCGCCACCTAGTGTTCATTACAGCAGTGCATTTAAACTATGAGTAAAAAAGTTGCCAACCCAATATTTAAATTAAAAAAAAAAAGGGCGGGGGGTTGTCAATAAACAATTGAAGAATTAATTCAGGTCACTTCTCATATCACTAGTGAAAAGCAGAGACGTGGTAAACCTTCCTATGGAGACTCGACAGGCCTGCTAAGATCATCCATGGCTTTAAAAGTCAGTCTTATAAAAAGCAAATACTACATCTGGGTTTTGGCAGAAATCAAGTCTGGTAAGTGAAATACAACAGCGAGCCTTCTAGCCTCAACCGCGCTTCCTCTGCCCCAAAGCCAGAGGGTCACCCAGGGGCAGAGGGCAGCATGATGACATGCTTGTTAATGGTTCATTAAAATATTTTAACTTCTAATATTTTTTAAAACCCTCTAACGTAGCTTTCCAGAGCCAGGATGGTGCAGAATTAAAGGAGGCTGCACAGGAAACCCCGGTCCTAATGACAAGCAACAGTTCTTGCAACTGCACCCCTAAGTGCACTTATATGAAGACAGCAGGATCCAGTGCCCTTTTTCTGTCTCTGAGGCTAGTCCTCGGGGAGTCTGCCGTGTGTCTTGGGCCTCGGCATCCTCTTCACTGGCTTCTGTGTGAGATATGCACTGACCTGGACACAGAAACTCGCCTTACCGCATGGTTTCCCCCCCACACGCATAAAAAAGCAGAGCATTTGGTGCTCACTTTAAATGAAAGGTGCGTCAGAGCAGAAATTGCATGATTTGTTTTGTCGTTTTCCCTCCCAACCCACTCCCCTGCGTTTCCCCTCTCCCACCCGCCCCCCACTTTTAAAAAAATAGGTACCGTAAAATATTTAACCTCACAACAGCCATCTTCACGCTGCATGGGCAATGGATTTAAGGATGTGTACAAAAGAAGGGAAGCGGATGGTTAATATTCTTTCAATAAATAGAATTTGCATTTCATAGTCCCCCCTTTTTTTCCCCCCTAAAAAGTTTCACCATAAAGGAAACAAAAATGACCTGAAAAAATCCTTAGCAGTTCTACAGAAAAATTCAATCAATTTTCTTGCTAGTCAATACATTATGACGTAGTTAAGGCGGGCAGGCTTTGGAAACGGGTGTGCTCAGGGTAATAGCTGGAATTCTGTCCTTTATAGAAAAAATACTCTTCAAATATCTTTTTTCTTTTAGTGGAAACTTAATTTTGTCTGAGGTTCAATTTTTTTTCTTTTCGATTAAAAAAGCTATGAACTAGACGTAACCGCAATAGTAATAATAATAAAAAATGGGCCAGACAAGCCAATGCCGGAAGCCAACTGCAAGGTTAAGACCCTAAAAAAAAAAATCCTTGTCTGGGTCGAACCAGAAAACAATGCGTCTTTCACCTCCTCAAATGTCCATTGCCCTCTTCACCCAACTTTAAAAGCAAGTGGGTCCTGGCATGTGGCAGTCTGACCGTACGTGTTTCTCTCTCACTCGTTCAGACTCCTATCAACTATGTACAGGTTTTACATTCACACCACAGTATAGCAATCTGGGTTCAAACAGGCCCGGGAAGGGTTGACAATACAGTCAAACGTCGTTAATAAGATCATCATCAGTGGAGAGCGTGAAGCACCCAAGGAAGCTCCCTTTAAAAGAGAAAATAGAATAAAAAAATAACAGAGCAGTGACAATTTTGCTGGCACACAAGAGAGAAATGGATTTCGTTTGGAAGAGTTGACCTATTTAGTATCTGTAGCTAGCATCCTCCCAGCTATGGTCAGGGTGCCTCTGAACAAGTGTTGTGTGTACCGCTTGCTGCCAGTCTCCCAGATGAATGAAGTTGCTTTAAAAATTCATTGCTTGGTCTAGATTCACGTTTTACCATCGAGATTGTCAGCAGTGGGCTGTGAATATGGGTCTCACCTTCTGGGGGTCCTTTTAAGACACCTTAAAAAGGGGCCCGACATGTAGAAAGTGCTTCTGATGTTTCAGCTCCGTGGTCAAAAAAATCACTGCGCTCTAGTGAAAGCCCAAGCTGATGCCATCAGGACAGGAGCATGCTACTACCTTGCTTGTGGGGGCTAAAAGTAGGAGCATGGGCTTTCACTTCTTATCGGTTTGGTCCAAATGGAACAAATGGTGATGGCGGGTTGGAGCATGCCAGAAATGGAGGTAAATCCCCTTCAGAAATACATCAATCTCGCCTTTCTCCTACTCATGACCAGGTGAAGACAGGCCCTGCCAAATACAGAGTCCCTTCGCTCCCATCACTTAAGCAGGAGCTTAAAAGATGTCTTCCCCTGCAATGCACAGCTGCTGTTTTGGATCTGGGGAAGGAAAAAAAGGCAGCTGATACTCAGGTGAAACATTCTCCAACTGCACTGAGGTTGCAAGACAGTGCTTTGGCTGCGGAAAGGGCCCATGATATGGGGCTGAGCGATGGTTATCACACTTCCAGGCAGCCATGGATGCGCAAAGGGGCTGCAGGGTTTATCTGCATGGAAAACAGCACTGGTTCAATGAAAGGCGCAGCTTAAATCAATGCAGTTAAATGAGGCAGGCTGACAGAACACCCCTGAACCCAACAGGCAGCTGGCCTGCATCTGTGCAGCCAAAGCTGAGGAGGAAAGAGGTGAAAACTCAACTGAAACGTGGCCTTCAAACCCAAATCAGGATGTCTAGAAGGGGTTTAGCACCATGTGAGCTAAGGCCTTTTCAATGCAAGGAAGATGCACACCTGCTTAACACCTCAATTTAGCCAAGCCATGACAAACCCAGGGTTGGCGTTTGTTCCGGCTGAGCTTAGTCTAAGAAGAGCGCTTCGCGGTTCAAACCCACCTTTAGAAAAACCCATGCCGCTTTCTCTTGTGGACAAGACCATGTTTTAAAAACACCCTTACGTTAAACTGGTAAAATGTGGGTGTTCAGATAAAGATTTAGCATTTTAGTGAAAAAAAGGCTCTAGGAGATGTTCCAGTGTAAGTACACTTTCACCTGCTCAGTGAAAAGCAGGCAGGCTTCAAATGGCATCTCCTTGCATAGTCACTTCTCTGAAGAGCAACAAAGGGAATGGTGCATTATGCATTGTCCAGGACCATTTCCATATTTAACTTCCACATGGAGAATGGTTTTGCAGTGCTCTGTAAAAGCCTGGAAGGATGGAGCATTCAAGCCTGGGACAGATGGTTAAAACAAATAAAAGAAAAAACCTGTGCAAAGTTAGGTCCACCCCAAACACTTCCTTTGAGTATGATTCTTGTTCGTCCAGGCTCTTGCTGCAGAGATTGGGAGGGCGAGGAAGGAAGGAAAAATTGCTGACCACAAAGTGCGTTTAACTTAAGCAACAATTAGGGGGTTTGTTTTGGGGTGGTTTGGTTTCGTTTTTCGATAGCGTGGCCTTCAGACCCGTGATCAAAAATGTCTTTGTTACTCATCGTTTCAAAGTCAGAGCTCGGTTCAGAGTACTGGAGCCAAGTTCATCATATTCGGCAAAACAGAGGTAGTCTGGAAGTAACTTGATCAAGTACAAAACTGCGCGTGCACATCTGCGTGCGTGTGTTTGTATGCATATCTGTGTACCTGGTTGTCTGTCTGCATCTGTCTATCTACATATACACACACACACACACACACACACACTTCTGAAGCTAGCAGCAAATCAGGAGAGGGCTGGCATTTCCAATGCTGCAGGGCGCTTGGCCGGTCTCTTCTGCTTCTCCACACCAATGGTTATTGCTGATGGAGGCACTGACCCAATTTCTGGGCTGATTCTTAGTAAGTCGGTTTGACTGTATCACTGACAGAATGGCTATGCACAGTACTTCTGTAAGAAAAACTCACACACCCAAGATTGCTTCTCCTGCCCCTCCCCTGACACCCTCCCCTCCAAAACCCCTCCCCACAAAAAAGGTTTAAAAATAAAATCTTAAAAATATAGTCAAGCTCATCTGAAGATACAGCCCTGACCCTGCTGCTAGGAGGTGTGCTCAGAAGACATCCAGTGAGGGTGAGCTAAAAGACTGGGGCTTGGCAGGACCCCAGGAAGTTAAAGGGAGCAGGAAAACTAGTCCATTTCCAACTTGAAATTCATCTTAGTACCAGCAAAGACTAAAAATAAAACCAGTGTTAAAATCTCTTAATAAAAAGGTCCATGATTTAAACTAAAATTGCTGGGCTGTTTTTTGGGGGTTTTTTTTGCTAACTCTGCTGGAGAAGAAAGAAAAAGGAAAAAAAAACAAAGCTGTTTTAAATTAGGTTAAGTTGGAATCCAGCAGAATAGGACCCCAGGCAGGATCACTCTCCACGTGCCTTAACTCGAAAGCTTTGGTCTGGTTTATTTGATCAGGTGAACCTGGCGTCTCTCCCCACAGGGGGAGCCCTACAGGGGCTGGCTATCTTAGCTCCCCATCACCAGAAGCAGCCTGTTTGATAGCATCTCTCTTGCTCTTTCAGTCTCCTGGGAAGGAAGGGTTGTCTTTTTTTTTTCACCCCACCTCCTTTTCAAATGGACTGCCACTATACACACAATAGCACAATCACATTTGCCGCTCCCCTCCCACCCCCCGTCCAGTCAAGAGGGAGGAAGAAAGAGGAGCATGGAAAGAATTATTATTGCATTCCCCATACTTCATGGGTCCAAGACGTGAACGTGAGGCCAACCCCTCAGAACCGGTGTATTAGTGCTTCTCGTTCCCTTTCTTTGCGTTTCAGCTCCTCTCGGTAACAGCAGGAGCAGAAATTCCCGGTTTCCGGATGCCCATAAAAACTGCAGTTTGGTTGCTTGCATTTGGTCTGTTGAACACCATAAAGCCCGCGGCCTCTGCTTCTGTCCGTAGCTGCTCCCTTCTGCAAGCTATCCTGCTCTACGTATTCCCTGTAGCCATTGCTGTGGGGGGCACCGGAGGGAGGGCTGTCGCACTCGACGGGGTAATTGAGGGGTATGTCCATCTCGGTAGGGGAGACCCTCCCCAGGTGGGAAGGGCTGGTTTGGTATGGGTGAGGCCGCCCCTGAGTGCAATGTCTGGGTAAGGTCGCATACGCAGGGAGGCTGCTGCAGGACCCCCCTGCTACCTGCCTTCTGGCGTCTTGATAGCTGGGTGGGTGGGAGCTGTCTGCACTGCTCACCACAGAGGGCCTGGGAATGGTGAAGACCCCAGAGTAGCTGGAAGGAAACACTGTCATTCTGGTTCCCCCCATGGCCAGCTCCGGGGCCTGGAGGCTGTATGTAGGGGGCAGCTGGGAGTAGGCTGGGTTCAGTATCACGTCCTCCCCCTTGTGAGGATTTGCCCCTTCAGGCTCCATCTTTTTGGAGGCCCCGTTGCTGCAGAGTGCCTTCTTCTCTGCCTCCTTTTGCTTTTGCTCTGCCGTGAACCGTTCCTCAGCATCCAGAAGGTACCTCTGGATCATCTCCTCCTGGTATTGGTGCCGGTGGCTGGTCTTGAGGTGGCCGGCAAAGATGAACTTGCGCTCACCTTGCATGGCAGCCCGCAGGATGTTCAGGCTCAGCTTGACCTCCTGACTGTATTTGTAGGCATCTGTCTGTTTCTCACTGGCTGCTTTCCCCGGACAGGTCTTCTCGACAGGTGCTGACAAGTCCCCTTGGGAGGACTCCTCCTTGCTGCCCTTCCGCGACTTCAAAGAGCCTTTCTTCTTCTTCTCCAAGGTATCGCCCTGCCCGTTGCTCACTCCACCTTTGATGGCTTTGCCATGCATCAGGCCGCCCATGTTCTTCTTGAGCTTGCTGCCCAAGGTCTTGCCGAAGCTGCCGAGTTTATTGGCCACTGAGTCCGCCCGCTTCTTGTCCTTCTCCTTGTCCCGCTCTTTCTTAGGCTTCTCTTTCTCCTTGTCCTTGCTGCCCTTGCTGCCCCCATTGCTCGTGGAGCTGCTGCACACCGACTCTTTGTCTGACTCGCCTGACTCTGGGGCAGAGCGGGCATCGTCGCCGGCAGAGGCTGTGGGGGATTCGGGCTGGGCAAGGGGTGCCTGCAAAGAAGAGAGACAATGCATGAGAAGGCCGCTGGCTCAGCTGTGCGTAGGCAAAGATCTAGCAAGCTTATTGAGCACCCAGGGTGATAGTGGGTGGTGGGGTGGGAAGTTTTACCTACCCAGGTTCTCTGCCAAGTGGAGGCAGCTGATACTGCTGCCGCTGCAGTAGCAGCAGCCCCATGGCATGGGCTCCCCTCCCCACCATATGCTACTGGATGCAGGGGCCATGCCTCCTCTGGCAAAGCCTCTGGGTTGTGGGGGATTGTGGGGGGAAGCACCATTCATTCTACTTATCCCACTTGCCCCCCAACCCCAGGGCACGGCTGCCTCTGCCATAGCAAAAACTCCCAGGGTGGTGGCGGGGGGGATTCTGACACCCTCCCCCCATCGCTGATGCCCCGCTCACCCTTCCTACTATATGCAGGTGCTAAACCAGAGGTGACAGGCACACAACTAACTCCCTGTCAGGAGATGAAGAGGAGCGTGCTGCTTTGCAAGGTTGCACAGCCTTCCTCCATAACCCCACCCAGTCAGTTAAATCTGGGCCACTGGACAGGAGGGCTGTGATGTTCCTTGTTTGGAGGGTACCTGCACATTTGCCCCCAGAGGTACATTCACGTTGTAAGTGTGTCTACTGGGCTGTTCTACTGGAGAGGGAGGGAATTAATGGTTTTTCAAGGATTTCCACTCCCAGACAACTCCAAAGCCAGCTCCAGATGCCTCCTGGAAATAGCCACAACTAACAGCCTGCCTAGGAAAGGTCACCCTGGATGCAAAGGGGGGATGAACAACAGCCGGGTGAATACTGAGGCTCTGTTGTCAAGACTATAATTGAGAAGCCACTAGAAAGTTACTGGAACTGAGGGCTGCAGCCCATTTCACTAGGGGTCACTGTACCACAATGATTCATGAGCGACGTTTGCTTGTACTGGGGCAGGGTGTTTCACAACAGGCTGAAATTCAGGCAGACCAAGCAGTGTAAACAACCCATGAAAGCCAGGAGGGATATTTAAAGGAGAGGACTCTGAGTCGGGGTCACTCACGCCCGTCTGCACAGAGCATACATTGGCGGCATCTACTTGAGTTCTTGGAAGGGATCCAAACAGAAGCTTGGCAGTTTGCACAGGCATTTGGAAGCACGACTAGGTCCTAAATTACCAGAGCTACAACTTCCTTTAAATAATAATAATAATAAAAAAAAAAAAGAGAGAGAGATATAGTTTCTATGAGCCTGGCAGAATTAAAACCATATTTAAACTGTTAAGACAGCTACCATGATTTGGCAGGGGGACAGCAGGAAGCTTTCTGAAATATTCAGAAGGCTACAAATAAACCCTTAAAATAACAGGCCCTGGGGGGTGGGGGGCGGGGGGGAGTTTAGCTGACTCATCTTCTCTGCTATCCTGAGTCAGTCTCGGTGACTATAAACCAAGAGTCCAGTGAAGTATGGGTTAGACTGAGATTTGTCAGGTCCAGAAGGCACTGTGTAGCAGGCTGCATTAATGGTCCTTTGTGTTTACATGGAGGGCTTGAGCAGCAGAAAAAAGTCTGCCCTGCTACCCCGCTGTCCAGATGCATGCCATTTCCCTCATCTTGCTGATGAAAGCCGTGCCTTCTAATAGGAGCCTACAGAAACCAACACAAAAGGAAGCGACACAGGTCGTCCCCTCCCCCAGCTCTCCAAGGATAGAGGATTTTGTTTCTTTACCTGCATTTCGCAGGACAGGGTGATCCACTTCACATTCATGTAGCTGTGCAGCAGGTGGAGCTTAGCTTCCAATGACAACGCCACACTAGAGAAAGGCAGGAAAGAAACCACACAAGAGCGTTTCAGTGATGGCAGTACTCTGCATCCAGCAACAACATTGCCTTTTCTCTTCTACTAACACAGGCTTGCTTCTGTCTAACCTAATTACTGACTCAAAACCCTATTTTTAGGTGCAATTGAACTTGTAGGTCAACAGTAAAAGGGACAGTTGGGTTAATTTTAGCACCTCAAATATCTTGCGTGAAGGCAATTTCTCAAGATGGTTTTATTCAGTTTTTGTTTTGTAAAAATTATTTCCGTTCAAATTAGAATTCTTCTGGCAGATGACCGAACAAGGAGCAATGGTCACAAGTTGCAGTAAGGGAAGCTCAGGTTGGATATTAGGAAAAACTCTCACAAGGAGGGTAGTAAAGCACTGGAACAGGCAAACCAGAGAGGTGATGGAGTCTCCATCCTTGCAGATTTTTAAGACCAGGCTTGACAAAGCCTTGGCTGGGATAATGCAATTGGAGCCGGTCCTGCTTTGAGCAGGGGGTCAGGCTAGATGTGACCACCTGAGGTCCCTTCCCACCCTCATTTTCTATTATTCTGATGTGCCAAACACATCAGCAGCATTGCTGCAACTAGGAAAGAACCAGGGGAGGGGAAACCAGCTAAACATTAACAAAACCTTTTTATTTTTAATAATATAAAGGTCCATTATTTCCCAAGCCAGGCAGCAGTTTTGCATCCTTCAAAAAAGAGTTTGTTTTAAAAACATCTGGAGATTTAGGATGTAGAAATTCTACATCACACAAAGTGAACATAGAAAGAGAATGTGCCAGAAGACAAAAAGAAGTGCTAAAAACAAGCCACAACCACATGGAGTAATTTAAAGCTGGAAAAGTGAAACTGTTGCATGCACCTATTTGTACTGATTTTTTTTGTTTGGTCAGTGTCCCTTTAAAAGCAGTGGCACCAAGATCAATCTACTCATCTGTAATGCAACAGTCTGACAACATTCATATATGGTAATGGTCCAGCCCAGACAGGAGGGGGAGTTGCTTTCTTTTTTGGCAGGGTATAAATCCCTATGAAAATAACAAGTCACCTGTGAAATCCTGAACCATCAGGCACTAGATGACATCAAGCATAAAAACACAGAGTTAATGAACAGGTATACCAGGCCATCAGTTATTCAAGGAGATCCCATTTTTTAAACTGGCTGAAGATGTTAAGAACACCTGACTGGGCTAATTTACCGGGTATTAAAAGTGTGGAAGATTAAAATTTATCCTAGAGAAGCGTCTTTAAAAATAAATCTGTTTGAAGTTCTGGAACTGCATAAAAACATATCAAGGCAAGTTAATCTTCTGGCAGTACGGACACAAAGACTGCACTGTAGAAGGTCACCAAGGCCCTCCATGAGATCCTTTTAATCACAGAAAATTTAAGATACGATGTTACCACGTGAGCACAGTGGCCAAATTCCAAAGATATTTTTCTGCATTAGTTTGGAGTTACAAGATTACTGGAGGAATTAAAGATTTGAGGCTGTTTGTACATGTGATCCCTAAAGAATGAAGACCCAGATGTCATAGAAGAATCTAAATGCAGCTTGTCTGCAAATGGTGTTCTCTTTTCCAAGAAAAATGATTTTCATCAAAAAAAGCCTCAAAGATGTTTATAACAAAAGCCGTCTTCACAACATTTTCCATTAGGTCAAAAACGCTGTTTTCAACTGAACCCACAATGAGGTTGTAGATCAAGAGGTGACAGGAAAGAGAAAAATGTGTACCACTCACTGTAATACCTCTGTAGCTGTATCTACATAAAATACTTTAAATCTTAGTTCCCCCTACATCTTGTACCCCTACAGGCTTACAAACAAAGGGATAAGAACATCCAACCTTCAGTTGCTACCATCGAGGAAGTATTTTTTTTATTTTTATTTTTTTAACTCCCAGGGCAATAACATGAAGCTGGATCTAGGAATGGAAAACATTACGTCTTTCCCCAAATCAGCATTGAAGCTAGGGAGAAAGCTTGGGGACCACATCCCCAGCCCTGTTATCTCACAGATGCCCCATCCCCTCTTAGCACAGTGTGACCCCTTACCATTTATTCAGTGGGTGAATCTGTACCAAAGCTGCTTCTACATAAGCTGCTGCAATCCACCAATACGACACACACAGTAGGTTTGAATAAGCTAATAAAGGAAAAAACCTGCTTCATCTCTATTGACCTTCACACCAAACATAAACGAGTCACGATGCTAAAAATTAGCAGTCCTAGTTATTAGGTGAAGATAAACTGATCAGCTGCCCAACTGTGGCTGCTCTTGCTACCCAGCTGAGACCTCACCTTGCCAGTTTGACGTTGTCGTTGTCATCTTTGCCCCATTCCCAGTCCTTCCCTGGATCTACAGCAAAGTGCACGGGCAGCAGCTTGTGTTCAGAGTCTGTCAGTGGGATCACAGCTGGGATGGAATGACACAGTTTGGTCAGAGCATGGAAGAACAGATGTCTGAGCAAGATGTGTGCGTGTGCATAAAGGTGGGGTGGAACAAAAGGAGCCAGCCACAGTCTAGGACTCCTATGCTGATGGATCACCATCAGCAGAGAATGGGGCTCAGGCTCCATCTCAGCCCTTGGCTGACACTACGACAAAGGGTGTCTGTTTTGATGGCACCTCGTGGGGCGCCAAGTTATATGCAATCACTGGCACTTCCCATGCATCTCATACCAGTTGCCTTGTGACTTAAATTTACCAGCTGGATTCTAACATGTACCTTGGTCTTTTGAGGGTTCCTTCTGCTCCATGGACACCAGTGCAGAAAAATGGGCCTGATCATAAGCCAGTACCAGTGGTGATCGATGACATCTGTTGGCAGGAACTTCTAGGGGCAGGTAGATGCCACCGAAAGGGATTGGAGCAAATGCTGAGGAAAAAGGATTTGTGAAGCATTATTTTTTCATATAAGGCTATAAAAGAACTGTCTTTACTGAAAACTCAGCCAGGAAACAAGCTTGTTTGACCCTTTACATTTGAGAGCAGGGGGACTAGACCCAATGATCTCACAAGGTCCCTTCCAGCCCTAAACTTCTGTAAATCAGTGATGAGCCTAAACTCATTTGTAGGAGACATGGACACAACCTTTTATTTTTAATCAGAGGCCCACAGCTGCAGAATTAAACCTTATTATCTATACACACCTCCTTTCCTTCTGCACTGTTTGCAATGCGTGCAGCTGGTAATTGATTCATCTCTTCTGACAGGAAATCAGAAGTCTGCTAGTGGAAAATGATGTTCAGAGGCAGTGGAATTTCCCCCGTCTGCATACGAGAGCGTGGGGGCAAGGGATTTGGGAAACGGAACATCAAGTCTAGTCTGCCCAAGTACCTTCTTTGAAGCTTGGTATTATGAAGGGGTCTAGTGGCACGAAACCTCACAGCTTCCATGCAAACCAAAACCGGATTGGGTTTGAAGACCTGAGCCAGAGTGCTACAACCCAGAGGAAGTGCGATGTGTCTGCTCCTGAACAATACTAAGGCTCAAAGAGCCGCTGGGAAATTCCACTGTACTCAAAGCAAAGCCCCTCTGCAGTGGAGCGAAGGGGGCTGCGGGACAGTCAGGACCTACCTTCTCCCCCTGAGTCTCGCAGCATCGTGTCTGCCACTACTACAATGGGCCTCTTCAGCACGTGAGCAAGGACAAAGACGTGAAACTCCTCCAGGCTCTCATACACCGGCTCCTCAGAGCTTTCAACACTTGGGAATGAGCAACGAGAAATGTGATCAGCCCTTGGCTTCTTGCATATTTAATCATCGGCTTTAAAACGGACTAGGAACAAAGTCTATATATGGGCCCAAGTAGAAATAGCTCATGTGAAGAGTGGAATCAGAGAGGGGGCAAAAGCTGTTACTTGATCTCCGAGATGGTCTGGATCCTGACTACATCTATACAAAAATGACCCACTGTCCAATAGCTGGCATTTCTATAGAGTGTTTCCTCCTAAAGCTCTCAGAGTGGTGCATACTGGTGAATGCCAACCCATTTCACAGAGAGCAAAACAGAGGCAGAAAGCCATTCCCTTAAATTAACTGTGTTACAATGTCGAATGGGTTGCATTGCTGATCCGTGCCCTTGATACAGATAGCAAGAACATGGAACATGAAAGCCTGGGGGTGCTATAATGCTTAGCTGAAGTCCAACTGAGGATGAAAGCAGAGAAGGTTAAATTCAAGCCCCAAAACTGAGGCCAATGGATGTTCCCTTTAAACCAGAGATAACATCTTAGCCGTGTTCTCTAATGCCCCATGCTTACTGCAAACACACAGCCAACCAGGATTTCACAGGAGTCTCTGCAGGGACATATTAATCCCTCAGGAACACAAATACAGAGGAGATTAAATTTCTTTCATCTTTATTGTTAACTTGGCATTTGGCTATTTTTACTTCTGTTTCTGCCATCTGGCTGACAGTCAGATGAGGAGTGGTCCAAACATCAGAAGGCACTGAGTAGTTAATTTGGGTCTGGGTTCATGAGGAAGAAAGAATATGTAACACTGAGCTCAGACTCTTCCATGATAGGAGTACGTTGGAGAGAGACAAACCAGCAGCTGGATCCAGACTGCAGACAGAGATTTGGCTGCCGCGGCACTAAAGTCCAAGATCAGGTGTTAGGCAACTTACAAAAGGAAAAGATGACCCATTGCCCCAGATAATTTACAGGGTGTGTCGTGTATACTCTCTGACTATCTTGGACCTTGAGTACAGCCCCACTCCTCAGCAGTTACCCACAAACTGTGTATAGATTAGTGAGATAACCAAAATTATGTTGTTCTTGACCTGGGAGACCTTGGACACAAAGGCACCTCAGATGAAAGGCTACTGAGTTATGCCTGTGGGCCACCTAACCTGTCAGGGGCACCTGCTGGCTTTTCACAGCTGTCTTCCACTTACCCGCCACAGTTGCTTCCGTTTGTACCATAGTGCATACGGGGCTCGCTTGATGCAAGCTTGATTAGCTCATTCCATTCCTTCTGCCACTCCTCTTCTGTGTAAACAAGACCAGACTGAAAAAACAGAAGCACAAAATACGGGTTTACCACGAGCCGACTGGTTCCATTCATCCTGGCATCAATTTCTCTACAGAACAGAGCTAAGACTGCCAATACCTTCCATGTAAACAAGTCTGCAGTGATATGATCTGGAAACAGTGACCAAGACAGAATCTAGGCTTGGAAACAGATTCCATCGATAAGAAAAAACCCACATTTCTACCTGCGGGAGGCAAACGTTTAAAGCCGGAGTGTTTGAATACCTGAAATTACATCAAAGGCATCTTGATCCCAAGCACTGCCTAATGTACTGAGAAAGTAGCAGGAAATTATAACTGGATTGGCAGAGTTAGGTTTCGTTTTAGAAAGCAATTTATTTTCCCTCCTGACTGAACAGCAAGAAAACTGTCTAAAACTGCCTCTATGAGGTCTGCATCCTTCATGGCTTTTAAGCCTTCCAAAAAAATTAAAAGATTCACAATACAGAAAAGACAGATTTTTTTTAAGTGTAAAAGGGGAAGATGTTCAGCTGTTACTGAGTCTTCTATATGTTACACATTAATTAACAGACAAGTTCCTTTGCCCGATAGCTTGCAAAGAACAATTTTTCCAACTATCTGAGTTGGTCTAATAAAAGATATCAGATTTACCCAAAGAACCTTGTCTGCCTATGTCCTTAGACCAACATGGCTACAACCTACACCCCTGACACCTTAATTAAACTACCTATACTCTCAGATATGCTCTTGCTTCAGTCTACACATCATGCATACATTTCATTCACATTTCAGACATACTGATGTAGACAGATGGTTGTGATCACTTATTGGCACCTCGTATTACACCATGCATCTCCATTCCCATTGGGATGATCCTGCTGTATCTCGGCTAAGCATAAAATAGTAGAAAGGTTCAATCTCTGCCTTGAGAAGCTGATGAGGCGAGTCAAGAACTGGCCAAAAGCATGCCACCTCTGGTAGACTAAAACTAGCCTTACAAAAGTATTTGCTTCAGTAACTCACAGTTGGATGATAAGAAATGATGCCCCATCCTCTTCCCATAAGATAAGATCCTCAGTGAACAACTAACATGCCCATGAAGAAGGGCAACAAAAGGTAGTGTCAGAAACTCTCACTCCCAACCAGAAAGATCACAAAAGATGTTATTAAACCTGAGTCTGAACTCCAACATACCAGGCCTGGCTTGGTGGGCGTGTGGAAGGATGCTGTGCCCTGAACTTCCCATGATGCTACCCTGCGATTCTAATGAATCTGCAAATTCAGCTAAATACCTGTCATCAATAATCTCAGACAGGACATGAGAAGTAGCAGGGAGGTGGTAACCTAGAAGAATAGGGCTATTTCCAACATGGACTATGTCACCCCTGATATAAGTGGGTACAGAAAGGGGAGTATTATGTTGCATAGCCCTGCAAAACCCATGGACCGTAAAATGCACATCTCCCCAGGAGTCTCTGCCAGGGAAGAGAACTTGGAAGTACAGTAACTTGGACAGCCTGACTCCCAATTCACAAGCTGCCAATTCATCAGCATCATCTAATATTTATTAATTCATAGATGTTTGGGTCGGAAAGGATCCAAGTAGATCAAGTCTGACCCCCTGGACAGGATAGAGCACTGGGGTTCGAGGACCCCAGCCAAGTGCATGTCTAGTCCCCTTTCAGAGACCCCCAGGGTAAGGGAGAGCACCACCTCCCTTGGAAGCTCATTCCAGATTCTGGCAACCCTCACCATAAAGAAGTTCTTCCTGATGCCCAACCTAAATCTGCTCTCCGTCAGTTTGTGGCCATTGTTCCTAATTACTCCAAGGGGTGCTCTGGTAAACAGAGCATGTCCTATCCTATGCTGCTCCCCCCAATGAATTTGTAGGCAGCCACAAGGTCACCTCTCAGCCTTCTCTTGTGGAGGCTGAAGAGATCCAGGTCCCTCAACATTTCCTTGTAAGACTTTGCCTGCAAGCCCCTAATCATATGAGTGGCCTTCCTCTGAACCCTCTCAAGGTTGTCCACATCCCTCTTGAAGTGTAGCGCCCAAAACTGGACACAGTACTCCAACTGCAGCCTAACCAATGCCACATAGGGGGCAAGTTTCATCTCCCTGGATCTGTTTATCATGCACTTGCTAATGCATGATAAAGTGAAGTTAGCTTTACTGATTGCTTTGTCACATTGATGCCTCATGTTCATCTTGGTGTCAACAATGATTCCAAGATCCCTTTCTGCTGCTAAGAAGGTCATCCCCCAGCTTGTAAGTGTGCTGGTGATTCCTTCACCCTAGGTGCAGCACTTTGTACTTGTCTTTGTTGAACTGCATCCTATTCTGTTATGCCCACTTTTCCAATCTGTCCAGATCTGCCTGGATTCGTTCCCTACCCTCTAGTGTGTTTAACTTTACCCCATAATTTGGTACCATTTGCGAATTTGGACAGAATGCTTTCCACACCCTCATCCAAACCACTTTGTTATTCAATCTGGTTCCTCCATGTACACTTAAATTAAGCCATGCCTCTTTGGAGGACACCACAGCTGTTTATTCTCTCACACTACACTCCTCCAGAATGTTACATGCTTGCTTGACCTGCCTTGTGAATTGTAACTCATGCATCCAAGCAAATTCTGGTGGGAACATGCCCTGAACTCTGAAATGCTCGTGTCAGACGCCAGGTCAAGACCCAGACAGATCTTCCAATACGGAAGGGAGCAGCACTGGCTTGCCCTGTTTGTACAGTGTTTAAAAGGTCTTTAAGACATACAAGATAGTCATGCTTCCCGGGCATGAGATAGAGCTCAGACAAGGAAGATTAATGACGTACCAAGGCCCAGAATGTCAACATCAATGCAAAGATCATTTGGATTTTTAAATACCCTGTTTTAACAAGGAAGGATCCCTCTTCTTCTAAGCTGCCCAAATAATCTCATTCTCCATCTGAGAGCTAAGTAGTATATAAAGTAGCACCCAGTGTGGGGTGGAAATAGAAACTCTCCCCATTCCAAAGAGGAAGGGGCTGCAATTGCTACGCAAGGACATCTGGTAATTTTCCACCTTGCTGTCTTGGGCTAGTGTCACAACTTAATGGGTGTTTAATGCGGAGGAAGTGTGAATACCCTTTCTTAGTGGCATGACCTGTGCCCTGCTTAGGGCTGAGACATCTCTCTCTTGATCTTAACAGCAGTCAGATGCAATTCTTGTCTCTAAAATTAACATGCAGTCGTCACATCCTGTCACCTCCAGGCAGCGCAGATGCAAACAGGAGGGACTGCATCAGGGAACAGTCAGTAGCATTGTGTTACCACCTTCACACAGCAGCTTGTATAGGCCTCTAGCGTGCAGCAGGGAGTCCCTGCCCAGTGCAGCTTTCACCACATAAAAGCCTCTTCTCTAATGCTTCAAGCCCATCCCTGTAACAGATAGCGGTCTCTCTAGGAGTCGCTTACCTCCTTGTTCTGCTGTGTTTGCTGCCATCGCCACCGCCGCTTCAGGGCTTCCCTTTCCACACCTTTGTCCATTAAGGTATAAAGGGATTTGCGAAGCATGAGATCCCGATCGTGGAAACCCCACATGCCTACATAGAGGAGAGAAAAAAAAAGTAGAGTATTAACAGTAGCTGGCATTTCTCCAGCCTCTGCTTTCTAAAGATCACACATGAAAAGCCTTATAATTACCATATAAAACAAGGAAGTAACCACATCTTACTGACTGGGAGCTGAGGCTGGTAAATGATATAACATGTGCAAAGACATCCAGGGAGCAAAACTGCAGAATCCTCAGCTCCCAGCTTACCCAATCATGCTGCAGCCTGCCCCAAACAGGATTTTTATATAGCAAAGAAATACGGGAGGAAAGCACAACTGCTTCAGAGCTGGCGTTTGTTCTTTAAAAAAGTCTTCTTAGCATGGATACACAAAGCATACAGGAGCTTTATATCAGCTGTATATAGATCACCCTAGATAATGAGATACAGGAGACAGGCTGGCTTCCCAGCTCTCAAGAAACCAGCCGCAAGGAGGAAACATACCACTTCTGTTCACTTAAAATCTCAGATGCCTCGGAGCGTTTACTGTGGTGATGCTTAAGCTGAGGAGGTCCCTGGGGAACTTGGGCACTTAAAGCAGTTTGAGTCTGGAAAGTGGTCTCCAAACATTAGATGCGTGGGCAGCTCTGCTATTTCTCTATGTCTTTACAAATATAGCAAGAGGAAAGGGCAGCAGCTCAAGGTAGTGAGTGGCACGTCCAGATTTCTAGTAACCCGGATACGTATGTAGCCCCATCATTGCAACATCTCACAGCTGTGTGTTGACTTATCTTCCCTGCGATGCCCCATTTGAAGAGACCTTGCCAAGATGAAACCTGCAGAGGGGATAGAACTTAACCCGATTTCTTCTAGTCCGGACTCAAACTCTTAACCATGGACTAGACCATCCTTCCTCTTACAGTGCATGAAAAAAAACAAACAGATGAGGTACCAGGATACCCAAAAGCTTGCCTATATCTATACCAACCATACCACTGGTCCAATAAAAGATGTCACCCACAAAAATTCTTACTTCTCAAAAACAGATGAGCCTATTTATATGATTACGTAGAACTGGAGTTCTTTGAAGCCTGGCAATATGTGCTTTGAGAAGCTTTTCACCATTTCTTCTGCCTTTATCCATGCTCTCTCCTATCCCACCCCAACCCTAAGACCCACCATTTCAAAATCTGCTTGCTGCCATGACCTTGCAGCTCATTAGTCCCCAGGAAGCTACAAATTCCTAGTGACCGACTCGCACATTGACAGAGAGGCCTTCCACAGCATACTTCTGCAAGCCTCAGTGGAGGGGGCTGCTTATATTGTGTGTCACGGCTGTGCAATCTTATCCTGAGCTTTGCGTCTAGCACCAAAGGCAATTAAAGAAAGATTCTGTGCTGTATGATTTTTCTGCAAGACAGAAAGAAGCCCGAGCTGTATTATTCCAACATAAAATTATCTTTGCCTAAGCAGTGCCAAGGATGGTTGCTTGCCACATTTTCACAGCAGGAGAGCCTATTTCTCCTCCATACAGTTTCCTTTCAGAAATCCATAGCTAAAAATACACACATTTGGAGGGGAAAGAAAAGAAGGAGCTGTGGATTTTAGCCTACTGAAACATAATGGGACTCGGGCACAGTGGGAAAGCGCTACGTGCTCGAAAATAAGCTCGGGGATTGTCTCATTCAAGTGGGGAGAGTTGGCACACAAGGGAGCTTATTCATTCTGCTTCCAGGACAGGTCATCACAGAAGTGCTGGTAGGCAGAGCCATCCCTGCCTCTCTCAGCTGCCTCCTCAGTCTCACTTCCAGGGCTGCAAATTACAAGGCAGGGCCTAGTGCTTTCAAGATTAGAGAGAGCAAATATTGTGTATAGGGCTAGAAGGAAAGGCCAGGAAGAGGCATGTTTGGAAGAAGCAGGCAGGAATAAGAACCAGATCATTGTCTCATCCCATGCTATTATTACCCCCCACCACAACCTCCCTCACCGTCTTACCTAGCGAGGCAGCATGAAGCAGGCAGTTCCCATCCCCTGTAGTGGCCAGGGGAAGTAGCCGTTGGCAGCTGGGGTCAACATTCACCCACCAGTTCAGGCGACCTGTGGGAGTATTTCAGGGGAGAGAAGAGACCGGTCATGAATGTGCGGCAGTTACAGGAAAATTGATGGTCGTCTGCTCAACAAGAAAAGGGGGAATGGGCTGGGATTCAACACAGGAGTCTGCTCTGAGCATAACCACATGATTGCTTTCTGCTTGGGAGAGAAGTGCATTGCTATGGTTTCTCTGAAGCGATGCCTCCTGCCCCAGTTCTCTCCCTGCAGTACCATGTGAGGGGCTGTTTAAGAGAGAAAAAGTTAAATCAGCAGGGGAAGAAATACTGGAAAAAACAAAGCTAGGAGTCCACAAAGCAACAGGCAAAACACTGAGGGACCTCTGAAATCATCAGCTGGATAAGCAAGGCTGAGAGACTTCAGGGCTTACTTGACTGCAATCCTGCCTCTACACCAGAGCAGGACTCGGTTTGGTCAGTGGCCCTCAAAGCTGTGGCTTCCCTCGCAGGAGACGCACAAGCGTTCCTTGTGACCGGCTCTGGGCAGTGCCCAGGTAGAAGCTAACGAAACCTCCAGCATGTTAAAGCACAGAAATCGTTCACACGCACAAGGGTGGCAGATGCAGATGTGGAGGAAGGGTAGGGACGGGACCGCCTGTGCCAGATGTGGAAGGTACCCAAATCACTGCCCAAGCTTACACCAGGCAAATACACCTGTTCTACCAGACATGCACACAGTGCCTCCTATCAGAAAAGCAGGCAGTTTTTCCCAAGCACGAATGCATGGAGCTATGCAATGCTGCACTGTTGTTAAGTCGGTGCCTCAGCCCCATCTCACAGGCAGGAGAGACTAAGCGATTTACCCAGGGGTGTAAAAATGTAAGGAGCAAGGTTGAAAACAAGAGCCAGGACTCCTGCCCACCCCTTTCTCCAGCCCAGGCTTTGGCTAAGATCAACCATTTCCCTATGGGCACTTGAACACCACCACAAAAAGTGGGATGAGATTGATTCTCATCTCAAGCGGTTCGTAAGCAACCCAACACCCTATCCACCCGGGTACGAGCTCCTGCAAAACTTATGGATCAAAATAAACAGTATTCACCCTGGAGCTGGATGCTTTAATGCCATGCTCTGTAAGATTGGCTTAAAAAGACAGTCCAATACGAGAGTGTGATGATGCACCAGATGGCTGACCACCTCCACACATGTACAGCATACCCAGGATGAGGACCTGGCAAGCACCAACGATAAAGCAGTTGTGTGGCTCCACCACATTAATGACGCGTAGAGGGGGAAATGACGTATACGAGAAGAAGAATCTTCTCCTTCTGTCCATCCCTTTTTTCCAGGTCTGAAACAGTCCAAAAAGGCTGCAAGCTTTGTTAAAAGCATTGGCCTTGAACAAAGGGTTTGCTGATTTTCAGCTGCGAACAACACTGGCTTGTTTCTTCCGCAGGTTTAACTGTACACATCTTAAGCAGCCAAAACCATACAGTACAATGCGTCCATCTTTTCTGCATGGCGGAGCAGAGTTTGGGGAAGTTTACCCATCCTACCAGCCAAGCAATACACATCTTAAGCACCTGCAACCAAACAGCATAATTCTTCTCTTTCCTCTACACGCCAGCTCAGGAACAAAGTTTGGGGAAGTTTACTACCAGCTGGGCAGCTTTTGAAAGGGTCTTTTCCCACGTTAATTTGAGCAGCTAATATAAGAAATGGCAGAGACTGGTGCTTTGTACTTTTCAAAAAAGGACCTGCAGAGATTGTCCCAATAACAAATCCCCTATAAAGGGAATATGTGGAGTGTGGTGGTACAGAGCACAGCTGGAAGGAGTCAAAGCTCTGCTTGGACAGAAAGCAAAGATAGTCTGCAGTCCTTTTGAGAAGCAGCCATATTCCAAGCCACCTAAACCAGGTTTCGGCTTACTGGGTGCTATTAAACCATGTTCCTTGGCTCTGAACGCCTACTGCTAACCTCTCTGTAATGAGCCAGATGAGCTCCAAGCAGCATGCAGTGGGCTGCTATGCCTCTATTCCTATTGCAATCAAGACGCAGCCACCGGTGACCCTCCCAGTCTTTAGACGAACCAGCTCTTTTTCCAGCATTGCAAATAAACAGTCTCCCCGTTTAGAGACTGTGTGTGCTGCTCCACGCAGACGGCGCTTCTAGCAAGTCAGGGATACAGATTTCTCGCAACTTCTTTGCAATCTCCGCCCTGAGGAATGCAGAAGAACTAAAAGAAAAACCAGTGCAAGCACCATAAAGGGAGAAAAAAAACCCGAGAAAGCATCAAATGGAGGGTCAACCGCAATTTGATGCCAGTAATTTCTTTTCTCGGGATTAGAAAAGGAATCCACTCGAGTTGAAAGCTGTTTAGTACACAACTGGGGGGGGACGACAATAGCTCCACTCACCAAGGCAGGCTATTTTCAGTCAATATAGCTTCTGGCACAGTAAAGCTGCAACCCATTGCCAAATGGATCACTGCCAGACGAGTAAATTGAGAAACAAAACAGATTCTAACAAAAGCTAAACAAAATTTAAGGCTACTGTAGTGACTCTTAAGCCTTTTGTCCGCCTCGCGTGTTTTCTTGGGAATTTGTTTTTTGTTGCAGCTGCAAAATGAACGCATTCGAGAGAGTCAAAAAGCCAGGAAAGCGCAGCCAGGCTCTGGTTACTGTCTGAACAGACCCGTGCAGCTTAGCCTGGAAAGCCAGGTTGGAGTCGGAGGATACACCTCGAAGACATGCTGCCAACAGATGTGCGGACAGGATGCAGCGCACACATCCAGAGTGACGTACGAGGAGTGATTTGTACCTTTCTGCGCATGCCAAGTTATGCGAGAGGGGTCATCTCTGCTCCGTTACTCCAAAAGCCTGGCTCCGAAAAGCTGCTGTAGAAAAGGCCAAGAGGCCCCCTGAAGTACGGAGAATGAGAGACTCCTAATAACTGTTCCTGGGGGAGGTATCTTAAACTGCATGCGCTGCTGCAGGGGATAACAGATCCCTATTTGAGAGGCCAAGCTTCCCCCTTCAGTGATAGGGTTACACTAGGAGTGGCCTTGATTAGCAAGGCAAATGAATAGGAGAAAGTAGGGCTAACCGTAACCCTATAAGTACTGATGGGCCACTCTGAACTTCCCCCCCTATAATCCCGGCTGCTCCTCCTTTTTCAACCTAAGTGCTAGCTAGCATCCTGCCTTGACACTGGCTAGACAGGGGAGTTGCTACAGACTTCAATGCAAAGTGAGATCAGACACTGGCAGGCTCCTTCCTCAGCCTTTATCACCAGGATGAATCTAATGAGTAGCTTTAGAGATGCTGGTTTCAAAGGCTGCAACCTGGTTCAAATGCCAAGACCAGGATTTGTGCAAGAGGCAATTATTTTCATGGTGCAACCTATTCCAAGATGCAATTATTTTCATGGTGCAACCTATTTGTCCGAAAGAGATCAGGGCCTGGCTGTGTGCGCCTGTGCCGCGCTCCAAAGAAATCCTAATCTATATTGGCCAGACGGATAGGAAGAAAAACAGCAGTTCCCTACCATGGAACAGATGATGAACAGTGCCCCGGAGACAGCAAGTGGCTTGCTCAAAGCCACAGAGCGCCAAGCAAAGGAACCACTGCCTTCACCACAAGATCATTCTTCCGCTGTCATGGGACAAGGCTGCAGCTACAAGGAACAACCCATCCTCTTGCTCCCCAGGCCGACACGGCTCATTTAACACCAACACCCACCACCATCTTTGCTGTGTTACTGCAAAACACATTTTTTTCCTACTGAATCACAGGGCGGGGGGGGAGGGGGGTGGTTTGAATCAAAACTAAAACCAAGTTATGAGACCAAAGGAATGGAAAGCACAGTTAAGAGAAAAAAAAAAATCAGTATCCAAGTTCATTGTATTATTAATCATCGTTTCTGCCATTCGCAGCCTTTTTACATACAAAATCACCTAGCTGACCCCTGCTTTCCTCATCAGAGCTAGGAAAGCCCACACGCATGCAGAGATATGACAGGAGTCTGCGGTGACAATTTGTTTCCTTTAAAATCTGACAGCTACAAAAGGTTTTTCCGACGTCCTGGTGCACGTCGCTGTTTTCTCCTTGAATAGACAGCCGCCTTCAATCCATATAACTTCCTGAACCATTTAAGACCTGCACATGGTGTGTAAGGGACAGGCCAGAATAAAAACAGGAAAGATCCAGTAAAAGCAGTGACAGCACCTCCGATTTGACCCCAAAGCCTTATAGATGGTTCCTCCAGGATCAGGTGTAACAGGATAATTCTGGGACGGATTTGAACGCTCGCCGCTCCACTGAGGATGCCAAGAGAGAGGCCGACTCACCACAAACGTGGTGGTGATGGTTTTGCAGTGTGGGCACCCGCCCAACAAGAACAGGAGAGAAGCTGCATATTCCATTACAGCCCTTCCCAGCCCTCCCCAGGTCCCAGGGAGCTTTTCATTACCATTTTGCAATCGTGTTGGTCTAGCAATGAATCTGACTTCATGGTGCCTCTCCCCATGAGTAAGAGCTGGTCCGGCCAGTGATTTATTTAGCAGGGGGACCTGCAGAAGCTCAGAAAGCCGAATACACAGCATCTAGCATTTAGGGAGAAGTGGGAAGATGTATGTGTGTATAGAAAGGACAGCAGAAGGTACCACCCTGGAAGAAAGAAACCTTTATTAAGGCCAGCAGCAGTCTTGTATTGATTCCTCTTATCATCTGTAACCAAACACAAGAGGTTTCTATTCTCAGCAGAAGGCATCTGTTTACCATTCATTCGCTGCCTCTGCATCAGTGGGGGAAATTGCGCTCGAACGACAGGACATGCCTAAAACTGAACTCATCATACAGCAATTTTTAATAGCCTGCCTACAGATGGCATTTTGCAGATTGTAGGACTGTAACCTATGAGTGGAAGAAAGCACAAGTCCTATTGCCAGTGGGCTTGGGGGGGATGAGAGCTATTCAGCATCACTCAATTCATCTCCAGCAGAGGAACGGGAGTCAAAGGCAGCAGAGATCTAGGGTTTACTCCCAGACTTCAGTGTGACAACAAATAAATCTCTTCCACTGTAAAAAGGGCAGCGCTCCCTCCCTTCAGAAGCATGAGAGGGAGGCTTCTTTTATTCATATTTATGGAGGCTTTTTGGATAACAAAATCATGCTAACAATTACTGGCCTATAAACTGTTTACTACGTCCCTTAAGCACCCTGTGTGCTAAATCAATAAAGGAAGTCGCTAAAACAAAAACAACCCCAAAAACCAGCAAATGACACTTGGAAGGTTTCAAGCTATTTCCTAAACATGCTCTATTTCTCTGTTTAAGAAACACTCACATTTGTCATACACCCACACACACACAATCCCACCTCCAGAGCACTTGATAAACACCAGCTAATGTATCATACCATCACGCCAGAGTACCAGGTATTATTGGCATGCAGATAAGAAAGCCAAGACCACCAAGAGTCTAATCCAGCTTTGCTGAAGTCAGTGGGAGTTCAGTTCTGGGCTCCATATCACTAGGTCTAGCTGAAGGCATGTAATGTGTGGTTTTAACAGCTAAGACTGCTGCAAAATTATGAGCAAAATACAGCTCTGAGAGTTGAAATGAGCTCTTAACCCTATGCAAGAACATGCATGTCAAACACAGTCTCCATATTACCACATTTTCTCATGTACACCACGCAACTTTCCCCCCAAAACCAGCCCCCCTAAATTGGGGTGCATGAAGCTGGGAAGCTGGATTTTTTTTGCCTGAAATAGAAGCTTCGATTCCAGCTCCACAGCACAGCAGTTCTGGTATTATCATTTAGGCAAGTGAAGCAGGAGTCCATAGCCCGTTATTCTTCACTTCACAGGTGTTAACAATCATCTCTTCTTTTTAATAGTCATTCCATTAATCAAGCTAACCTTCCTGGGGCAATTTTGCAGTGTACTAGGGCTTCTGGTCTCTTATTTCACAGCTCTTAAACTCTTTTCAAAGATCATAGGTCCACCCATGGAGACCAGTCTTCATCTGCAGCTAGGTTTAGTTAGGCAGGAAAGGGAGGGGGTGTCAGCTGAAGATTACGCTTTGTCCCTGCTGTCTTCAGCCCTAATTCTGGAAAAAAAAAATCTTCACAATGCCTTTTAAACACCTAGATGTGTAATAGGCAAGAAAATACGGTAGCAAAATAGATGCACAATGGCCATCTAGATATGACCAGAGGCCAGGATGAATGAAATTTGTTTTCATGAGGCAGGATGGTTTCACTGATTGCCAGGCCTGCGCGTAACAAGATCACTCGTATCAAGTGTTCATTTCCAAAACCTCAGTATATTTATTACAGGGACACTCAAACGGATCAGGTCTAAAATTTAACCTACCTTAAAAATGTGTTCCCTCTAGAGGAACAACCTTCCGGTTACAGCCATACATTGGTGGTAGGAGCAAGAAAGATGTGGGAGTATGTTGAAAAGTTAAGATCAGGCTGTTAAAACCAGATGGGAATTTGTGCTTTGAGTACGGAGTTTTTTTATATTTTATTTTTAAAGGCTTCAGAGGAAACCACATGCTTATTATCACTATTCACCCAAGTGCCCCCAGCCTCTCCTCACAAGTCATGTCCCCTAGCCCCCAAACCATTTTCTTTGCCCTTTGCTAGACCTCTCTCTCCAATTTGTTCACATCCTTTCTATAGTGGGGGGCGCAAAACTGGACACAGGACTCCAGATGCGGCCTCACCAGTGTTAACAGAGGGGAAGAATCACTTCCCTCAATCTGCTGCCAACGCCCCTACGAATGCAGTCCAGGATGACGCTAGCCTTCTTTGCAACAAGGGCACACTGTTTACTCTTATTCAGCTTCTTGTCCACAGTCACCCCCAGGTCCTTTTCTGCTAGCTTGCATCTATTTTCATATAATGTGTTTTTGGAGTGTTTACACATATTTGGAAGGGATGCAAGCTGCAATCTGCTGTCTTATATTATGAAGAAACAGTGCACAGAGATGAAATCTCCACTGGGGGAGGCGGATGCATTATTTGGTAACATTCAAAAGTCACCCAAGCAGATAACAGCGAACACTGGTTGCTTTCAGTGCCGACAGACAAAACAAAGCAGCTTTAAGCCTGTTTACATCCTCCTCCTCAACTCTGCAGTTTGTTTCCCTGCTACACAAAGAATCAAACCAACGTTATCCATCACAGATACAGAGTGCATCGTCCCTGTAATGCGTTCAATTCTTTGCAGCTTGGAGCCTGTAAACAGCAGCACAGGCCAGCTGACACGGCTGCAGCTCGCTGCTGCATGATATTAGTGTTAATAAAACTTAACAAAAAGTAATACCTCCCAGGGTAAAACTTACCAGCCTGCTCCAATGCTGCCAGCATCGACTGCTCAATGAGATCGCGCTCAATGAAGCTTCGAAATTCCTCGTTGTAGATGGTGAGGTCCGGTAACTGGAAAGTGCAAATGGGCATCTCCAGCAGGTGTTCGCTGCTGCCATTGCTGGAGACGTGGGAGCGGGCCAAGGAGACAATGGTGGAGCTGGCGTGAGAAATCCCCCGGGACAGGCGTTTCTCTGAAACCCACAGGAAGGAAGAGGGGTGTGAGAGCTGCATTTCTTGACCCACATGCCTCTACGAAGAAGCGCCAAACCTCACAACAGGACATGCCCATGATCACAACTGGGAGGCAAGGCATTGTAACAGGGGAGTAGTAGGCTTCATTTCTCTCCTGCTAAGCAAAACTCAGGATAGACTCGAGTGACCCAAATTCTACCCCGTCTCCAAATCCTTTCATGACCCAAGACAAATGATTTTGCCTCCGTGACACAATACCCACAACCCACCACCTAGTTAAAAAGTTTGATCAGCCACAACAGTCCGTGGTCTAGTTAATTAACATAACCAAAGTGCCTTAGAGGAAAGGCAAAAGCAAAGGAGCTGCAGTGAAGCAACTCCCAGCCTTTCCATTCACTGCAAGGAGAGCTGTCAAAGGCCTTGTTATCTGTTAGTGGCTGTTGGCATGACAGGTAGTGAATTCCAGCACGGGAAGAGCTTCCAGCTTGAAGAATAAAAAATGTAAAGGCAGCAGCTTCCTCTCTCCTCTGGATTTGGCACCAATTCAAATGATAACCAGGTGCCCCTGTAAAATCAGACTGTGTCTGGTCCTCTGCCTCACACCAAAAAGACACAGCCCAGCACAGCCATGGGGAATGACGGCTTTGCAATACTTTTGCAGCTGCTGCGTTCTGGGCTGCATCTGTGCTCAAAGGGTCTCCAAGGTAAATCAGACAGCTTTTGGCAACCTCTGCAAGGTTTGGGATGCAGCTCTGCATTCAGTACTGTAGAACCCTCCTCTCTCCCAAGCTACTTTCCTCTTAGGCCACAAAGGCCGGCACTTGGAAGGGGTTAGCACAGAAGTGGTTATGGCAGGGTGAGTGAGTGTGCCTGAGCCTATTTCTTTTCTAGCTAAATGCCACCTCCCACATCTCCAGCAGGAACAGCCCGTAGGAACCAGGTCAAGGGACCAAAAAAACCCCATGACATTTTTTTTTAAAGCCATTTCTGATCTACCACATGACTACATGCCATTAGGCTGGAAAATGCCCCAGAAATCCCACTCACCTTGCACAATGTCATCCTGGCGCTGGAGCGGTGGCCGCATGGGCCGAGCGGCCTCCTTCTCCAGGGGTTTGGAGCTGCGCCCTTCGTTAAAGGAATGCGGCAGGTTCCCTGCGTGCACTTGCCTCAGCTGTTCAAAGTCGCTCAGCGCCGCATTCATGTCCCAGTTTTTACCTTGGTTGGGAAGAATAAAGACAGTCACCATTTGAGGGAGGTGGAAATCAAGCCAGCTGTGAAACATGGTGCCCTTGTAGGAATCCTGCCTTAAAAAGCCAGAGCAAGCAGCGATCACTCTCTTGGCCAATGGTAACTCCAACCTGGAAAGGAACATCACCGACCCTAACCTCAACAATGCAAACTGAATATGCTCAGCACAGAAGACGGAGTGGGATAAAAACCTGCTCCAATTTATTCCCTTTTGCACTTTGAAAGGCAACCATTTTTATCCAAGTTGGAGTGTTGTAACCGTGATGGTCCAGGAACTGTGTGAGAAGCAAGGACATCTGATGTCTGAAAACCTGCCTGATACTTCTCCTAACTGTACAGTTGGTCCAAGAAAAGATCGTCGTTAAAAAAAACCACAACCCTTACTTATGGCATATTATCAGAATATAGCTGCACTGATCTTTATTCTTCCTTCACATTCACCAGCCACCCTGTATCCACACCAGTTGGCCGTCTGATTGAGGTCATACTCAATATTGTTTTGTAAGCTGCTTCGACCGCATTAAAGAAGTGTGTTACAATGCAAGCACCATTTGCTCCCTGACAGAACAAAAAGTAAACAGCTTTCCATATCACCCGTGTTACTGGAGGGCAATACTAAAATTAAATGGTCCATCATGGACAAAACCAATATGGGATTTTTTTTTATATATGTATTTCCAAATAAAAAAAAAAAAAAAAAAAAAAAAAAAA